TTTATTATTCAAATAAAAAAACGTCTTCAGTTTGGTCGGGGTACAGTTAAAAATAAAGTAATTCAATTAGAACCTTTTTCTGAAGGTTTATTTATTACTTTATTCCGTCATATTTCTACTTTTTATTTTATTGCATCACAAAAAAAATACACAGTTAGTTTTAATGGAAGCATGGGTTATCAAAAGTTGGGAAATTTATTAAATGATGATGAATGGGGTAGCAAAGAAGACGGATCAGGAACTGTCGCTTATGTTTTGATGGAAAATGAGATTGAAAAATACCAAGTTAATTTTATTTGGAAGAAACATGTATATAGAAAGCATCATTATCCTTTATCATGTGGTTTAATGATATGTTCATTTAAAACTGATGTTCGAGATTTTATTTCTGAATAAAGTAAATAAACTTTTATTAAATATATGTTACAATTATTTCTTTAATAAGTTTGTAATTTAACGCAATAGTGATATATTACAATCAATATTTATTATTTTAACATTTGACTAATTCAACTATATGCTCAATATATAATATACAAAAATAACAAAAAATCATAAATTTGCTACAGAAATTATTCTCAATTCTACTACCTCAACATCTAATCCTAAAGGGGAATTTACACATAAGGAACCGAAAATGAAAATAATTATGGATGAGGGCCCAAAATAAAAATTATTACATATAACGGCCCAAAATCAAAAATTATTACAAATAAGGGTCTGTCCGATCTCTGAGCTATACTAAGCGACTAAGCTACAAGACTTGCATAGCGTCGCCCAGAAAAAATAGTAGCCGGATTAAAATAATTATACAACATCACTAAAATAGCTCTAAGACGCAATTAACTTTTTTACATTAAAAAACTAAAGGTACTATTCACGAATCTCGCTAATAAATGTATGACTACAAATTTTAACGCGTTGATTAAAAAGATCTTATACATAACTAAAAAGCTATATTATGCTGTGATTATTTGAACATTAAAATTCTTTGTATTTACTAGCTAAATTAACGTTAATAAAAACAAAATATGAAATAT